GGCGGTCGACTACATGGGAGTCCAGCAACATAGCCATTACGCTAACTGCTGGTTCCCAATAAAATCAATTCTTAAAAAAAAATAAAAATAAGGGCCGGCAAGTGGCATGGTGGTTAAAGGCGCTGGACTCCCACATAGCTGACCACGGGTTAAGTCTCGGACCTGGTGGCTTGCTTTCTCACTTCCTCTCTCTCTCTGATCAAACTGGAAAATGATAATAATAATAAATAAAAGTTAAATAAAATCTTTAATAAAATAAAATAAAAATAAAGGACAGACGTTTGGGAGAAAACAGGGTAAAAGCCGAGTGCTGACAGATGGAACTGAAGGACACCTGGCTCGAGGTGTGAGAACTAAAGGAAAACAATGACTGGGACAAAGAGAGACGCATGGAAGGACAGACTCCAGATTAGACAGCTAATGTCAAAGAGGAAACCAGCTTTCATAGAACTCTAAGCAAACCGGGTCCTCTAGAAAATCGCTAAAACTATCCCTACTACTGAAATAGCCCAGAGATCCTCCCCACCATGTGATGCAGGGGTGCCTCCAGCAGAAAGTAGAGAGCAAGGAAAGAGAAGGGCCTGTCTGCCTCACCAAGCATGCTGCTGAGGCTGTGGATCTTCTCTAAGGCAGTTGGCACTTCAGCCTCTTCATGCACCACAGCCTCTACCTCCCCCACAGCATAGCCAAAGTCGGCTGTATCCAGGTCCACCCTGAGCGGCCGCTCCTCTTCATCAACTCCAGAGAGCACCAGCTTCCAGGCACTCCGCTTAGTCACAAAACTAGCTACTTCCTGTAGCCCAAGTGGACCCAGTACAGCAGCCACACTGCAAGCCCCCAGGCCCTCAGCCCCCAGCACTTCACACAGCTTGGCCACGATGGCAGGCTCGGCTGTGAGCTCCTTGTACTCAGTGTGGAGTCCTGAGACACCTGATGCTCCAGGACTTTTGAGCTCCCATCCACTATCCTCTCGTTGTCGCAGCCAGTGGTCAGCCTGCATGAGACTCAGCTCAGGGGTGTCATAGTAGGTATCTCGGAAGGTGACCTGGTGCTCCAGGGTGCCCCCCAACTCCTGCAGCCGCTCCTCTGTACCAGGGCCTGGAACAAACTTTCGCTCCACCTCAATCAATCCTTGGGCCATAATACCTGCAATAGGTCAATCAACAAACATTCGCTGAGCTCCCAAAGATGCAAAGGCTGGCGCTCAGCCCTGCAAGTGTAACAACTGAGCACGGACTCTGGCGTGGGAAGAACTTAGGAGAAACACCCACGGTGTCCCAGAGCTCTACTGCTAGGGCTACAGCCCTTTCCCCTCTGCCTGGGTGACAGAGGCCCTGTCTGAGGTTTCAAGGCCCTGCAACAGTGACGGATCTGCACTTATATGCCTCCCACTGCTGATGAAGTCCTCAATCTAAAGGACTCCCTAGAAGCAAGCCACGTAGCGAACATCCTCCTTTTCACACCCTGCCGCCAGCCCTTGCTGCCCCGGGTGACCCGCCCTTCCCCTGCACGCAGCAGGCGCCCGGAACCTCGAGTCTCACCTCCAAGCCCTAGCGTCTCCCTCTCGCGGGACCCAGCGATGGGGGAAGGGAGACCCCGCTACACCCGCGAATAAAAAATGTACAGCTTCCCTAAATTTTGTCCCTAATTCCTCCTTAAAACCTGATGGTTTGAAAATCACACTGGGCAAAAACACTAAACATGTACCCTTAATCAATTCCATAGAATGCTCCATTTGTAGTTAGTCCACCTACAGCATCCGGAGGCCAAGAGCCTTATAACATTCATTTTTGTCCACTGTAAAGCATTCACACTCCTTGTCTACCCTAGGGGTTCTCCCAAAATGCAAGTGACAGTGGGTGCCTCCTTTGGTACTGCAAGCTCAGAATAAATAGTCTTATCTTTTCTCATTTTGTTGGACTTCATTTATTTCCCCAGAGATATCAGGTCTGAAAGTCAGGATTTTGTATCTGGGTCACCTAGGAGTGAACTGGTGGGTACAAAACAGATCGCTAAGCTAAAATGGCTTAGAAACCAAAGAGGACTAATGAAATATACAGGGGTGGGAGGAAGAAGCCAGACTTGTATCCCCCACCAGCGATATTAGGCCGGTAGTGGCGGTGCCTGGGGAAGACATGTCCAAGAGGCCTGATAGGTTAAGAGGGGCCGCCACCACCGCGGCGGCCAGGGGAATAATGCCATTCCCCTCGTGCTCTGCTTCCGATCCTCGACCCCTCACGTCTCCCTGGGGTTGGCCTGGGTCTCGGGCCTCAGGCTGTGCCAGGCACCCTGGAGTCCGAGTGCATGATGGGAGTTGTAGTTCCAAAGAGGGAGACGTTACCTTCTCGCTCCACCCGTCGCTATGGTGACTGGGAAGCTGCAATTAGTGCCAGCAGGACTCTTGCTAGATTGGGGCTGCAGGGCGTTGAGGGAGAGTCAGTGACAGGAGTTGAGGCTGTAGTCCTGTCTCCAACCCCCTCCCAGCCTAGGCGGAGTGGCTTGTAATACAAACGCTCACTCAAGTACTTCTAGCAGATATGAGTGGATATTAGGGTGGCCCACAGATTGCAGGTCAGCAATGGGCGAGTGGGTAGGAGATGGGGCAGGGAACAAAGTCCAGTTTACTGCGCAGTTTTAGAGGGGATCTGATACATCCTAGCATGAATGTCTAGGGCAAGGGCAGTGGGGAGCTTTACGTTGGAGGAGGAAGTGATATTTTGGGTGGGAGCTAAAGGTGTAATGGAGTTTTAACAGTTGCAGACCCAGATGGAGAGGGGGATCACATGAACAAAGGCTCACAAACTGGAGGAGACCTGGCCAATATGTAAGTACAAGATGAGCCTAGAAATGCATTCCAGGGCAAGTTGGGAAGGTGCAAGACGGAGGAGTTTGTCCAGGGTTTCCAGGAGGCTTTGTAAGGAATAGAAGAAGTAAATAATTCATGTTCATTTATGGACAGCTAGTGGTGTGGGGGACTGCCCAGTTCTAGTCCTGGGTCTAGCAGCTCGAAAAACACAATGGACACGTGCACGTGTGTGCCCAAAATCTTGAGAGGAAAATGGAGAAGGGATTGCTGCATGGCTGGCCATCCCCAGGGGGGTGCTCTCTCACTTTCTCTCTCTCTCTCTCACTCACCAGTGAGCAAGCCTTATAGCAAATTTAAATAATAAAATACAGGAAGATATGGGAATGACCCTCCCTTTGGGAGATAAAAGAGAGGAGCAAGCTCCTTACTACAAGGGCTGGTTATCCCAGGCCCATAACTGTGTCTGACCAGGTGAGAAAGCTGGCTGAGGAACAGTGGCTGTGTCAGTTCCTTGGGTCCCTCCTTAGATGGGTGAGAAATGCCAGGTTCTTTACACCTACCCTCTCCCCAGCACGCTTCTGGGAATATGTGACCACTGGTAATATTTTAGGATGGACACTGGTTTATAGACATGGCCTTTACAAATGTTTTTTTCAAACAGAATCTTGCTATATTGTCCAGGCTGGCCTCAAACTCCTAATAGTGAGCCTCCTACTTCAGCTTCCTGAGTAGCTGGGATTACAGGCATGCACCATCACATTTTGAACTTGAAATAGTTTGCATGTATCCCTTCCTTGACACCATGCCAAGCACCATTAGACACGTCTTGCCTGACCCCTAATTCCTCTCCTTGGCCTGCTTTTCAACCACCCTTTGCTTTTAGTTTTGTTGGCCCTGGGAAAGAAGATGCAATATGTCCCCTGTTATAAAGCCCCATCCAGGGAGACAGAGTCAGTCGCTTAATGGAATGGAAAGGCCAGGTTTTGGAGCCAAAATGACCTGGGATCGACTTCCAGCTTCACTTTCTAGATGTTTGGCCTTAGGACAAGCTACTCTGCCTCTGCTTTTTCATTGGTAAAATGTGGAGTGTATCAGTACAAATTGTCATGTGGTAGAAATGTGTTGGTTTCTCCTTTTTCTCTTGTGAACTTCAAGGGGTTTTGTTGTTCGTATGATAGAAAGCACGTGTAATAAAAACAGAGAGAAACATCCTCAACCGAGTCTCAACATACCACGATCTCCTTTTCCCAACCCACTAGCTCTGGAGGATTCTGGATGCCCATATACACACTGACATGTTTTCAGTGCCACCTAGGAATCCCAACTTGCCGCTGGCCACGTGGCTTCCAGCCTTAGAGGGCATTGCATTACTGCTACGCCAAAGTGGCTGGGCCCATTTTTTTGTTTTGTTTTGTTTCGTTTTTAGGTTTTTGCCATAGGATGTGTGCATTCAACCTGAGAGAGACAGTGAAAGACAGTGAGAAGGACGGTGAACAATCAATTACTTCCTGGGTGAATGACGCACTGCAATTCATTCTCCACGTTCCTCCCGGGATTTTGGGCACGCATGCACAGGCGCCCCGCATGAGTTTCAAGCCACCGTATCTGGGACTGGGACTGGAACTGTGATCAGCCATGTGAGAGTCCAGTGCCTTAGCCACTGTGCCACCTGCTGGCCCCCCATTTTTGCTTTTTAAAGTTTATTTCTTCCATGAGGGAGAGAGACAGAGGGAACCCCCAATGGGGTCCTGACACCAGGATTCACCCCCAGCCTCATCCAACTCTATATCATAGATAAGTGTGCCCCTGGCAAACTCAAGATTTCCAGATTTGAACTGGTTCCCATGTGGGATTGCCTCAGAAAGTACTGCTCTTTTCCAGTTGTGCCACCGTCCAGCCCCTGTTGTTACTAGCTTTTGGTTTTGTTTTACTTTTGCTATGGGATACATGCCTTTGCTGAAGAGACACAGAGAAAGAAAAAGCAAGCATCCCCCAGGAGTAGGGGGCCACACTGCAATTCCTTCTCTATCCTGCTCTTGGGATTTGGGGTACCCATGCACACTCATTGGGCATGTTTTCCAAGCAATGGGTTTGGGACTTGAATTGTTGGAATCCAGCTGCCTTAACCATCACGCCCGACGACCACACCCAGTGCTGGTCCTCTCACCGTTATTTTTAAAGAAAAGTTTGCTATAGCAGTTAGTGTGGGTGCTGGAGCCGACTGCATTTGAATCCTGGCGCTGTCACTTACTGGCCATGCAACCTTAGTCTGTTTAAGTCACATGTTTGTGCCTTGGTTTTAACTCTAAAATGTGACTGATGATAGTACCTACCTGGTAGGGTTGTGAGGAGTAAAAACGTTAATATTATAGTAAATACTTCACCGACAGGGCCATGTTCTGAGAAATGGGTCGCTAAGTGATTTCCTAGTGTGCGAACATTGTAGAGTGTCCCTTCACAAACCTGACAGTACAGTCTGCTACCCACTTAGGCTATCAGGTGAAGTCTGCGAGACCGCCATTGAATGCGCTGTCCATGGTTGACGGAAAGGTTTACGTGGCACGTGACTGCCTACATAAAAGCGCTTGGAACAGTCCCTGTGCACTCAATGTAACTTAGAAATTGTAGTTATTAGAAGGTAAGAGCGTCTATGAACTGATAAACTGAAGATGAGGAGGGGCCCTCCCGTTACCCAACCCGGGGACTATGAGACTGCATGGAAGAAGCAGAAGCTCTTGGAAACTTCAGTTATTGCTGTGTAAGAGAAGGTTCCAGTATCCAGCCGGAAGAGGGGGGACTAATAAGGCAAGATGGGAGTGAGCAAACAGGGATGGGCCCCGAGTGGCTCTGGGAAGGTGGTAGAAGCCAGGGTTTGGGCTAGAGCTGCTTTAAAACAAAACAAACAAACAAAAACAACAAAACACAAGGATGGTTTCTTGTAGGCAGGAGGAGACAGGACAGAGTTTAAAGGGACCTGCCCTCTTTGCAGGAACCAGCTTGGACCTGGCGCCAGAGTCGAGGAGGCGGCCGGACATACTAACCAGCCCTCCCCCACTCCCGACCCCAGGCCCCCGGGCGCGGGCCCTTGCACCCCGCCCGCATCCAGGAAGCGCGCGGACACTGCGCTGGCGGGCCGGAGGGTGGGGGCGGGCAGACTACAACTCCCGGGATGCAGCCCGGGGGGGGGGCGCGTCGCCCTCG